GTTTTGATGTGTCCATACCATCTTTTATACCATCCTGTTTTTCATTGGTCACTGTGCTACACGGATGCTTTGCAATTTTGCAATTTGATTTTCTCTCTAGAAACCTTGCTGACTTTCTTCTCAAGCCCCTACATGTGCATCTGTATGTATATTTCTATATTTCTATATAGACACAATCTTTGATGGATAAACTCAGCTTGATTTTCTTTGGAATTTCCATAGCTTTTACTTATTGTTCTTGCCTTGCTGGACTCGGACCCGGTGCTGCTGCGTTAGGTGTGGAGTTTGCTGAGCTCACCCCCTATCCCGCCAGGGGAGCCTCCTGCATCCCTAGCTGACTGTGATGTTACCCTGAAGGCCTTTGACATCCCCCCGCGCTCACTGGTTCCTCCCTTGAGATCCCATCAGGCAAGGGCAGCGAGGCACACAGAAGCCCCACTATGTGCTCCAGCAGCGGGAATGGAATGTCAGGGTTTGTGATGCCCGGGTTGGGACACAGATGGAGCAGAAAGGAAACACTTCCCATCAGCCTGGGTGGGGCTGTGAACAGGGACCCAGCGATGAGGGGCCAGGAAGGTGGATTTTCATGAACTTTCAGGCGACAGCGATGCTGCTGTGCTGAGGTCCCGCCAAATGGGGCGTCCGTTTCCGATGGGGCCTGTGCGCCCTCGCTGTCCCTCAGACACTCAGACCCTCGAGCCAGCACAGGTGGGTCCCACGTCCCCAAGAAGCCCTCAGAGCCAAGGCCTTTACCACTCACATCTGGATACGCCACTCAACCTCCAGGGACCTTGATATATTTACCTTGAGAGTCATGTGGGGGAGGGGAGACAGGAAGATTTCTCAGTCACCACACCCCCCATATCCTATGGAGGCTAAGTTCCCTTCCAGCCTGGTCACAGTCTCTCCCCCAGGACTTCCTGTTGGGGTGTCCTAGGCCCCACCCCAGAGCTGGGCACTTCCCTCCCTGACACAGGGACCTGGACCCACTTTGCCCTGCCAGAGGCAGACATGGTGCCCCTGCTGCTGCTGCCCCTGCTGTGGGGGGGTGAGTGACTGAGGGAGGGGGACTGGGGAGGTGGGGGAGGGGTAAGAGCTGCTTCTGAGCCTCTGTCCCCCACCCCCAGGGTCCCTGCAGCAGCATGCAGGCTATGAGCTCAGAGTGGAGGAATCGTCCCCCTCCTGCAGAGTCTGTGCAGCAGCCGCCAGGCTATGAGCTCCGAGTGCAGGAATCGGTGACGGTGCAGGAGGGTCTGTGCGTCCACGTGCCCTGCTCCTTCTCCTACCCGTGGAGTCCATGGTCTTCCCCTAGTGAACTCTACACCTTCTGGTACCGGGACGGGGACAACATAAACCGTGATGCTCCTGTGGCCTCAAACAACCCAGATAAACCAGTGAAGAGAGAGACCCAAGGCCGCTTCCTTCTCACGGATCCCACGACCAACAACTGTTCCCTGGACATCAGAGACGCCAGGAGGAGTGACAGAGGACGCTACTTCTTCCGAGTGGAGAGAGGAAATTCTGTGAGATATAGTTACCAAGAGAAGATGCTGGATTTGCAGGTGACAGGTACAGCAGGGGCCCCGGAGAGGATCAGGGACATGGGACCCGTCTTAGAGCAGGAACAGGACACTGGACACTCCCTGTCCAGGCCGTGGGCCCTGGGTGGTGGGAAGGGACACAGAGCCTGGGTGAGCTCAGCCCGAGGCAGGGCCTCTCTCAGGGTCCCGTTCTGAGTCCCCGCCCCTGGAGCCCAGGCACCTGCCTTTCTTCCCCACAGACCTGACAGAGAAACCCCACATCCGTGTACGGGAGCCTCTGGAGTCTGGCCGCCCCACACAGCTGGCCTGCAGCTTGACAGAGGCCTGCGAAGTGGGACAACGTTTCTCCTTCTCCTGGGAGGGAGCTGCTGTGGACTCGCTGACCCTCCAGACCCGCCATTCCTCGGTGCTCACCTTCACCCCGAGGCCCCAGGACCATGGCACCAGCCTCACCTGTCAGGTGAAATGGGAAGGATCCCGGTGGACCACACAGACCACCATCCGGCTCAATGTCTCTTGTGAGTGTTGGTGGGGGGGCTGGGTCCCCCGGGGCCGAGGGGGCCAGAGGGAGGATCAGTCCTGGGTTTCCTTTCCCAGAGGATTTTGCTGAAGTAAAACCCCAGCCCTCCCACTTAGGGGCCCCTGGGGCAAAGGGCAAATGCCCCCCTGATGTCAGCACATTTTCCCTCCCAGACGCTCCTCTGCTGACCGTCAGGCTTTCCCAGGGAAACCGCACAGGTAGGAGCCGGTCCCTCCTCTCTGGGGAAGGAGGGGGCGGGGCCTCTGCCAGCTCAGGGCTTGGAGGTGCGACCCTCCCCCCTGGCCTTGCAGCCCCTCGGGGTGGGTCTGCCCCCTGAACCCTCACCCGCCTCTCACATCCACGGGGACACCACGGCCTTTGGCTGCTCCCTGTTCCCTTTTCGACGTCTAAGTTCACTCCCTTGTGGTGATGCCCACGCAACATGCCGTCTACCGCCTCCGCCGCGACTAAGCGGGTCGCTCAGCACGGTCACCACACCTGCAGGCTGTGCTGCCACCTGCAGAGTCTCTCCCATCTGGGGGGACCGCGCCCCGACCCCACCAGACAGGAACTGCCCCGCCCAG